GGGATACGGGATTCCTGCTCTGGGATGGGGGATTCCCGCTATGGGATGCGGGATTCCTGCTCTGGGATTCCCGCTCTGGGATATGGGATTCCCGCTATGGGATGTGGGATTCCCGCTATGGGATGGGGGATTCCCGCTCCAGGATGTGGGATTCCCACCCCGGGATGCAGAATTCCTGTTCTGGGATGAAGGATTCCCGCCCCGGGATGGGGGATTCCTGCTCCGGGATATGGGATTCCCACCCTGGGATGTAGGATCCTGCTCTGGGATACAAGATTCCCACTCTGGGATGCGGGATTCCAACCCTGGGATGTGGGATTCCTGCTCTGGAATGAAAGATTCCCGCTTTGGGGTGCGGGATTCCCGCTTTGGGGTGCAGGATTCCTGCTCCGGGATACAGGATTCCCACCCCAGGATGCCAGATTCCTGCTCCAGGATGCAGAATTCCCACTCCGGGATGCAGAATTCCTGCTCCGCAATGCGGGATTCCTGCTCCAAAATACTGAATTCCCACAATGGCATGCAGAATTCCTGCTCCAGAATGGAGGATTCCTGCTTTGGGATACAAGATTCCCACCCAGGGATGCAGAATCCCCACTCTGGGATACAGGATTCCTGCTCCGGGGTGTGGGATTCCCACCCCTGGATGGGGGATTCCCACTCCGGGATGCAGAATTCCCGCCCCGGGATGCAGGATTCCTGCTTTGGGGTACAAGATTCCCAGCCTGGAATGCAGAATTCCCACTCTGGGGTGCAGGATTCCTGCTTAGGGATGCGAGATTCCTGCTTTGGGATGAGGGATTCCTGCTCGGCGGTGCAGGATTCCTGCTCTGGGATGGAAAATTCCCACTCTGGGATGCAGAATTCCCGCTTTGGGATGTGGGATTCCCACTCCGCATTCCCAGGGCTTCCCGGTGGCAGCTTTTCCCGAGACATTTGAGGCCAGGAAAGGGCAACACGGAGGCAATGGCACAAATCCCTCTTTATTAACCCCGGGGGGAAGCGGCCGGAACGCCGGAGCCTCCGGAGGATCCGGGATCCGGGATGCTCATGCAGGGAACGGCGGAGCCGCGTGCTTCGGCTCCGGCTTTTCCCAAAACCACACGGAAAAACGGACAAAGAACCCCCCGAAAAGCCCCAAATCCCCCCAAAAATCCCCCATGGAGCCGCATCCCAATCCCGCCGGGAAGCGGCATCCGGAGCGGGATCCCCCTCCGGCTCCTGCTTCTTGGGAGCGGGATGGAAAAGTCCGGCTGTTCCGACGCTGCTCCGGTTCCCAGGATCGCCGCTCCGGCTGGGATTTGCATCCGGAAGATGCATCCGGATGGTGCATCCAGAGGGAACATCTGGAAGGTGCATCCGGATGGTGCATCCAGAGGGAACATCTGGAAGGTGCATCCGGATGGCGCATCCATAAGGATCTGGAAGGTGCATCCAGGCGGTGCATCCAGAAGGTGCATCCGGATGGAGCACCCGGAAGGTGCATCCAAATGGTGCATCCGGATGGTGCATCCAGAAGGATCCGGAAGGTGCATCCAGAAGGTGCATCCGGATGGAGCACCTGGAAGGTGCATCCGGATGGTGCATCCAGAAGAAACATCTGGAAAATGCACCCGGAATGTGCATCCAGAAGCATCTGGATGGTGCATCCGGATGATGCATCCAGAAGGTGCATCCGGAAAGTGCATCTGGAAAATGCACCCGGAAGGTGCATCCGGAAGAAACATCTGGAAAATGCACCTGGAAGGTGCATCCGGAAGGCGCATCCAGATGGTGCATCCAAATGGTGCATCCGGAAGGTGCATCCGGACAGAGCACCTGGAAGATGCATCCAGATGGAGCATCCGGATGGAGCATCCCAAAGGTGCATCCAGAAAGTGCATCCGGACAGTGCATCCCAAAGGCGCATCCGGATGGAGCATCCGGACGGTGCATCCCGAAGATGCATCCAGACGATGCATCCGGACGGTGCATCCCGAAGATGCATCCGGACGGTATATCCAGAAAGTGCATCCAGATGGAGCATCCCGAATGCGCATCCAAACGGAGCATCCGGACGGTGCATCCCGAAAGCGCATCCGGAAAGTGCATCCAGACGGTGCATCCCGAAGATGCATCCGGACGGTACATCCAGAAAGTGCATCCCGATGGAGCATCCCGAAGATGCATCCTGATGGAGCATCCCAAAGGCGCATCCGGATGGAGCATCCCAAAGGTGCATCGGGAAAGTGCATCCAAACGGAGCATCCCAAAGCCGCATCCGGATGGAGCATCCGCCTTTCCCAGCACCGGCCACTGCCCCGCAGAGCCCCCCGCCCCGGCTCCATCCTTCCCAATGGGAATTCCCCCGGGAAGCAGCGCCCGTTCCCGCTGGGATCCCCCCTTTT